AAAAAAAAAAAAAAAAAAGATAGCTTCACTTTACCTATACTAGTCTGATGTGGATATTAATCTCTGGAAGTATCCACACAGAGTCTATCACCTCCAGGTATCTACCGTTAATATACAGAGCACTGAATCATAAGCAGCTAAAATCAAAACACACTGAAAATAATCCTTTTTTCCCTTCTCATTCATTCCTTTCCCCCCCCAAGCTCAGGCATTACGTGTCATGCCTTTGAGGGGGACTTTTTTGTTTCTCATAGGTCTCCAATTTTCAGATTTGTATCTTCTGACTTTGGTGAGAACGAAGCTTTCAGGGGTGATTTACTGAACTCCACTGAAAGATTGGATTTGGATGCTGAAAAGTACCAACTATTCAGACTAAATTAATTAATTAAATATTTGGAAATGGCCTTGAATAGTTAGAACTGAACAGAAGGAGGAAAAATAGCGTAAGGTTGTCTCCAATTTAGACCCACTCTCCATATTATAAATAGAAATGATTTAAGAATAACAATGTAGCCCAAATATCTCAAGACAGAACAGAAGCCTTCAGCTTAAACAGAAGAACTCTTATCAGGCTGCCTTGGCATTTGTATGACAATGTATTAGCACGGCACTAGAATAATAATTCTTTACTGATTGTAAGCAAACCATTTTTCTCAGTCTTGTGTTCTATTCTCTTTTTAAGATAAAGCCCTGCTGAAGTACCGTACAATGAACATGTATTGCATGAAGTGTCTAATAGAATTTGGATTTATACGGTGCCTTTCGCACTCGGGTTGTCCCCGAGCAGATAACGCAGTAAGTCAGAACCCGGTGGTGCTGTGTGCGTGTAGGCAAGCGTCAACTCTCATTACGCACCAGCCACGGCTCACACGGAGGACCAAGGATTTTTTTTTTTTTTTTTAATGAAAATTAATAAATAAACGCCAGCTTTGGAGCTGGCACTGGGACGGTGCTTGTGAGTTGGTATTTCCATACAGAGAATCCATTCTGCAGACAGCGACTCCCCCGAGTCAGCGTTACCGTGTGGGTGAGGATGGGCAGCACTAGACCCCGGGGACCGGCACGGCCCCTCTGCTGGAGGGCACAGCCCCGTCCTGGGCTCTCACCCGCCGAGGGACTGAGGGGTAAATCTGAGCTTTCCCTTTACACAAGTTATTCAACTCCCTTTATGGCAGCTTTTGCTGTTCCAGTTCAGGGTTTTCCTGCAATGCCGGCACCCACGATCTGACGTCAATTCCTGCGCTCTGCTGAAACCCTCAGCTCGTGTCCTTCCATCAGGTGCAAACGCGGGAAGAGGGAGCGGGGAGTGGCGGTCAGCTACACCGCGAGGGACAATCCCCTGAAATGCCTTTTTCTGGCTCTTCAGCCAACATTTCTGAGTGTATTTGTTACGTCCTTCACCTCCTGACTGAGCAAGCGGGATCGTATTGGTTTAAACGTGATAAATCCTGAACGTGATTAGATTGGCTGTTGCTGCTCTGATGGAGTGGAGGCTTTCCTTACCAAGAAAAAAAAAAAAAAGAGAGAGAGCAAGAGTGGTATTTTTATTTTCAGTGCCAAGCCTTGTGCTCCAAGGTCAGTAACCCTGGCACGCGCTGCCAGCGACACAGAGGAGTGGAGATGGAAAGGCCGCATGTCCCCCACGCAGCCGGGCAGAGCAGGAGAGGCAGTTTCCCCTTTCCCGAGAACGGGTAGGAAAGCGTATTAAATCGAGATGTTTGTCCTTGGCCAGTCAAACGGTGTCTGAGAAACGCCTGCCTTACCGCTTCGCTGTGAATATTTTGGGAGTCGCCTAGCCCGAAATGTAGGGTTTGGGGTTTTTTTTCTTTTTCATGCTCAGATTTGAAGCCTTGGCAACACACAAACACTGCATTTATTCAAAGTCTTTTCCACAGATCTTGCCTAGTTGGAAATATGTTTCATGGGTTAAAACATAAACTAATTCAAAGTTGCCAGCTCTCTGTTTGCTGTGACCCAAATCATTCTGTGATGCTCCTCCTGCCAAAGATCGCAGAGATCAGCTCACTTCCAGCAGGAACAATGCAGCCACGCCTCTTCGGCATGTGGCTGCATTAAACCCCCTCCCTCTGCACTTTGGATCCTCTGGCTGTGATCTTCAAATTTCCTGCTCTGCATCCAGCCTCAGAGGCGGCGGCAGCTTTGTCGTGTCCTACACAGAACACGGCAGAACGATTATCAGAAAACTCCGGGTGAGTTGCAGGGCGGTGAAGTTAAATATTACAAATATATTTTCCATTTTTCTCTGTTGTAAATCATCACATTGAATTGTATTACAATTTGGAGTGAGGCACTCCTGTTCTTTGAGGTACTCGGCTATGCCTCATGCCAGCGAGGAGAAAAAAAAAAAAAAAAAAAAAAAGGGTGAGATTGTGCTCAAACGCAGTTCTGCTCAGGAGGGGCACCAGGAAGTGCTCGCCTCACCGAGGGGGGTGAAAAGATGGGGAATGAATGGGGTAGGTAGATGCAAATAAGAGATCTAAAGAAGAAAATTCTGGATATGGTGACCAGATAGCGCTGAGCTCGGAATCAGCGGTTTCGATCAGGATCGAACCCTCAGGGACATCTCTGCAGTGCTCTGAAATTGCTGCCTGCCAAGATCAGGCAAAAAGGATGATGAAACGTTGAGTGGGACCGCAACGGCCGTGGCCAACGAGGCAGATGCACCCTTTGCCACACCAGGCCGTTCCATGCCACTCTACGCCTCGCGCTCTGCGTGCGCCGCTGGTCTCTGCATTCCAGGGCTGTGGTGGACTGTGGGGAGCCCCAAAGGGCAGCAGAAATCACCATCAGAGCAGGACTGCTCCTCCGAGGGCGCTGGCAGGCTGGGCTCTTAGTCCGGAGAAGGCAGGAGGAGGACGGAGCTGAGGTTTACAAACACGGGCAGGCAGTGAATCGACTGAGCGTGGAGCTGCTGTTCAGTCACACACAATGAGGACGCGGAAGCAGCCACTGGGACTGGGGGGAGATTGCTTAAAAATAGATAATGGAATGTTTTTCTTCACGCAGAAGGTTGTGAACCTCTGGAAGCCGGTGCCACAGGACACTCTGGAGGCAAGCAGGATCAGTCGGCTCAGAAGAGGATTAGACAAATTCATGAACGGCAGGTCAGTGGCTACTAAAGATATTAGGAAAGAATTTAACTTCCAGTATCCCCAACACAGCTCTTCTATATGCTGGAGGAGTACCAGGCAAATGGGCAGCAGGAACTGGTAAGGCTCAGATGCTCTTCTCGGACAGCGTTGCCTCTTGCCGCTGCGCTCAACAACACACTTGACTGTTAGGCTGGCCCAGAAAGGCATTTCCAGTGCATTACGTTTTTATCTGATTGCTTAAGGATTGGCCGATCCTAAATCTTAAAGGTGGATCTGTCCTTAGCCAGACAGCATCCTTGCAGCTCTGCCTCTTGCATCTCACTCTCAGTAACCTGTAAATTGTGGGTAGGCTCAAACTGTTCCTCGAAAGCTCCACACCTTGACTAGAGAAGTTTCAGACATCTGCAAACTCAAAAAAGTGACTGTTGGTCATTGGTTGGGCCCGAAGGGATGGGACAGCAGGAGCACCGCACTGCAGCACTTTAAATCAATTATTGTTGACGCCGAGCTTTGGGTAGGGTACGTACTGTCCTTTCCAGGCTGCAAGAGGGAATGCGACCGGTTCCAGCCAGATAAGGGGAGGGGGTTGAGTTGTTCCACGCTTGGCACAGAAGGTCACAACATGAGTAAAATTACAAGCTGCTGTTCTAAAGCATTCACTGCAGCAGAACATGATCACCTTATTAGAAAAATCCCGTAGTCTCCTATTAAAAGGTGAAATAAAGACGGGTATTCACTGTTAAATGCCATGTATTTTTAAGCTCTTTATTGATTTTTGATTTTTTTTTTTTTTTGGTAGGAGTTTCTAAGAGCTATAGGAACTATGGCTTTAAAGGAATGAGACATTTCCTGGCACACCCCAACCAATACTTTTCTGAGCGTTCACACCTCCTGTGTTCCCTTTATACAATTCTGAGAGCTCAGTCGGGAGGAAGGGGAAGGTGGGAAGGAGCAGCTGAGGTTGGTATGGGCCCGAATGCAGATTATTGCTCATTTCTAGCTGCAAAACGCACGCTGCAAACTGCTTCTAATGACAGCTAATGAACCAGGCTGAGAGAGGTAATGCAAACAGTAAACAGGGTTGTTACAGTAATTTATAAATGCCTTTTATTAAACATTAAAAGCAGCTGTTTACTGATAATGTTATTATGAAGCGCGTTGGAGGATGAAGTCACAGTTTAGGCAGTTTGTGGCTTATCTTCTGAGGAGCCTTCTGGGCATTCCAGAAAGCCCGGGAGGGTGGATTTTCTTCAGAAAGACACTTTTCTCGTCCTGCGTTAGCCCTTGAAGCACAGACTCACGGAACGGTTTGGGTGGGACGGGATCTGTAGAGACCACCTCGCCCAGCCCTGCCCCGGGCTGGGGCACCTTCCGCTGGGGCAGCTTTTGGGGTTTGTCCTGGGCAACCGTCAACACACACCTTCAAATCCCACTGGCATTTCTGCGCCGTGCGACTCTCCCAGGTATCCCTGAGACGGCACGACGACACAAATCTGAAGCTGCTGGGCAGCGGTTTTGGTGTCTTTACGGCAGGGTGTTCGGGCCGACAGACCCGGGAGTCCCCGCAGGGAGAGCGAGAGCGCGGAGCGCCTGCGCGCCCTCCCGACACCCCTCGTCACCCCTCTACCGTAGACTGCAAGACCTCTTTTTTTTTTTTTTTTTTTTTTTTCCCC